CTCTGATGCTGGCACATTACTAAAACCAGGAACACCTGTCAAACATGAAGCATCAGCAGACATGAGAACAACAACTTTTGATGGATTGAACCAAGATCTTCTACCAAGGGAAATAACCAACTTTTCACTTGAATAAGACTTATTACGGTGATTATTTCCCTTTAGTCTCTTGGCGAGGCGTTAATTAATCAAATTAATTGTTTTGTTTTAAAAAAAGGAAAGAAACGTGAAAAAACGCGGGGAATCCAAAATTATGCAAATGTGCAGAATTACACGAAAAAAAAACGCGCCGCGGCGCACAATCGCATAATCCTACGGGGACAGACTTAATTAGTTGCAACTAATTATCAGTTGGCGGCAAAACGATCATTGTTATTTTCCACGGGTAAACGCTCTGACGTCATTGCGACGAAACGTCAAACTCCCATCTCACCTATTTTCACCTTATCGTATCTTATCGTATCTTATCTACTTATCGTATCCAGGGCAAAACCTGCGCCTGTCGCTGTCAACTCACATACAGACGTCGAGTTGCACACCTCAGGATGTAAGTGGACACGGTACAGGTGACCGCTGACGATTGTGAGGGTGGGCGGAGGGGAGACCCACCGACAGTTGGATAGAGACCAAAAAGCTTGCGTGACGTCATAGATGAAGAACGAATGCAAGGGCATGTTGGACACTACCCATTCACAAGGAGCAATCGTGTCATCAATATTTACACCAGGTTTTGTCGGACGGTTTTTCTTTTCTGCTTTGTTTCTGCATTTTCTACTAACGTATAAGGTTGAGGGGAAAAAAGAAACTTACGTTAATTAAAGATCCTTATACTGTAAGATGGTTCACTCCGCGCTAATTCTCAGGTGGCGCTTTTTATCGCTTTTGGGGTTTTCCTTCGTTTTTTCACGAAGAAAAGTTTAAATCTTTCAGTTTAAAAAAAAACAATTTTAATATTACATGTATAATTTCGTACTTCGATCTGTGGTTCATTCCGCTACGTTCTTATTAACTAGGGCATTGTGGCTTTTCATTCCCAATAAAAGTTAATAAGTCATCGAAAACGACTGACCTTTCTTCCCCGAAGACAAAAGAGCGACAAAAAACAACAATTTGCTTCGGCTGATCGTCAATTCTTTTGTCTCAGTACTTAGTCTTATAAGTAACTTTTTTGGGGTATACGTAATGGCTACTATACACAAGTCTCACAATACTCGTGGAGCTTAGTTTAGAACAGACTAGATCTAGGTGCCAACAGACGCAAAGTGTGGAAACTATCTGAGCAGTCACTGTTGAATGTGAGTAACGCGCTCAAGTCCCCCTTTACTCTGTTCATCACTCTAGTGACTACTAATATAAAAGAGCAGTGCACAGTGGCGTCGGTAATAAATTAATGGTTAAATTAGGTCCCACAACTGCTTCACTTGTTGCTACATTCATCTTAATTTCAAAGTAAAAGTTCAACCACTATTTTTTTGGGCCCGAAACTACGTTGAAGGTGTACTAACAATGTTGCATGCCTTTATAAATCCTATACAATGTGCTACTAAAGTCAACTGTCCACCAAGTCCGCGCTTTTTCCCAGATAGTGCCGTCGGCGAGTTTGACTATCATCGTTATCATGGCTATTATTTTTAACTATTACCTGTAATATGTAAAAGCAATATAATTTTATATTCCCCCCTCCCTCTATCTCTTTACCGGAATGAAATATAT